GAAAATATTTTTGCCTTGCACTTTTGAACGACTCAAAAAAAAAAAATTTTTATTCCAAAAAATATTGTAGTTAATTGTTCAATGTAAGAATGGTTAACAAATGATAAACTACCAAAACTTCACAAATAATAAAGTTTCAAAGTACACAAAACCCAAAAGTAAACAATTTTGTTTTTTTTTTTAAATTTTCTATTGTTTTAGAAGTAAAAGTTAACTTTCTAACTAAAAATAATTAGGTATTTGAGAACATATAAAATTGTTTGCTCGTGACCAAAGAAACGTTAAGAAACGCTAAATAGGTATTTGATGAATTACAACAACTTTTGGTTGAAATGTTGTAAATATTATTGATCAAAATTGCACTGCATATTTACAGGCGGATCTAGGATTTTTTTTATGGAAAGTAATAAACATTTTAGCAAGTGGCAACACCAAACCTACTAATGATCTCTCTTTTTTTTTTACATAGTGCTGATACCTACCGAATAACAAAACTGATCACGATACCTGGTAATTAACTAAAAGCTTAATACAATATTTGCATAATGCATGAGTTTTAAAACTAGATTACCAAGTATACTTACAAAAATAAATAACGATTCGGATATAATTCAGAATAAAAACATAGTTGTAACATTTCAATATATTGACAGTTGATACAGATTCATGCTGTTATATTATGTTAATACTTAGTATTCAGTTATGGATAATTTATACATACATAATCATACTTTATACTATACGCATTTCATGATTGTTTTTTTCGTTTTCATTAGTATTCATATATATTAATGATTATAGCCACTGCGTATTACACACTAAGGTGGTCGAAAAAAACGGGCGACCATTTGTTTTTTTTCTTAGGCTATTTTCCAGTTATAACTGTTTCTTATAGTATAAAATTAGTTTTTATATTATTTCAAGGCAATTTATTTGTTTAATATTCTAGTCAGTCATCAAATCTTTATATTTACGGTAATTGAAATAGATCTTATCCTACCTGTAAAAGTTATCCTCTATAGAAATAATTAATTTTGTGTTGTCAAACAAATTTTAGATGAGGTTAAAACTATCATAGTACGAGTAATTTATTATTTTTTATCTGAGACATAAATATTAAAAACGATTAAATACTATAACTACTTAAAATTATTTTATTTTACTGAATTATTTAAATTATATTTTTTTAGACTAGGTATTCATTTTTGTAGTAGGAGATATCTGTTAAAGTAGGTATAATGTGTGTTAACACGTTTATATTTTGATAATAAAACATGCTTTTAATTAACACGATAGCTTACATACGTTTATTTCTTTATTTTTATAATATAAAATGAAATTTGCAGAAGGTGTTAATTAATAAAAATCAATTAAAATACACTGTACACGTTTATTTAATGTGGGCTTTTTCAAGAGATTTATTAATCTTTACCTCATTTGAATAATAAGTACCTAAAAAAATATATTCTTTTCTGTTTTTTTTTTGTCGTAGGATTGGTATATTATTTTATAATTTTATGATAATAATTTAACTGACTACTAAATGGGTTTCAAACCATTTTTTACTAAATATTATTATCATCGCTATTTATAACAAGAGTACTCATAATCGTTTATATTTATTTGTTGTACAAACGAATGTATTTTTTTTTTACAAATAATTAAAAACTATTACAAGAAGAAGAGTACATGTAAGTTTTTTTTATTTAACAATATACTCCGTACAGGCTTCAGATATAATCACTTGAATAATAGTAATTCGTACGAACGTAAATATATATATATGTACAAAAGATACGAAATAAATCGCCGTTTTATCGTTTAAATCGAACATGAAAAATGAGTTTTTTTTTCTCGTTGCCGGTTTTAAATGTATTAAATAAAAATCTGGATTCTCAGAACCATTCTAACGTTGTCCGCATTGTGTGTATTGTGTCCGGTTCTGTTGGTCTTGTGCCTTTTTTCGCATTCAGCTATAGTGCAAACCGGGTAGGTTGAGTAACATTGTTTCTTTTTTTATCAAATAAAAATCCACGGTACACTAAGAATAGAGGCACATCGCTAGACAATAATATCGTATCATATGTAATATTATGCGGCACACACATACACAGTGTGTAAAGCATCGGACCGGATGTTCTATAGCCGGTACGTGCCCGCTCAACTCTAGGTGGTTTTTAAGCCCAATAACACTATACTTAACCCTGTTGTAACGTTTAAACTGTCGCACATCGCGGTGGAATTTTGAAATTTCAATAATAATAATATTGTCTTGCCGCGTGTGGCCGAAAACGGCCAATACCGGCGGGTAGGTCTCACTTGTTTAACATTATGCGATTACACGAACACGTTGTCGAACCGGGTATAGAGTAGGTAGGTACATAATAAAACGGTATAAATTACAACAAAATAAAAGTAAAATAAATAGATCACGGCGTGTAAGTTCACGATTTTCCATGTAGATCATTTGTGTGTACCGATCGTTTCGCAATAGAATTCCAAAGCTATACTTTTTTCCCTCAAGTCGTTTCACACGTTATCCGATCATAATAGGCTGCTGTTATCGCAGTGCTTGTTCCATTTTGTAAATAACACCTGTGTAACGGCCCGGTGGTGTACGGTCAACGCGCCATGTGACATAATAATATTATTTATTTCATTTTTTTCCCCACACGTCACGTGCAGCCTCGGCGGAGGTCGCAGAGCAAAACATTGGTTATGATCGGTTTGCTCGATAAAACCAGACAATAGTGCCTATTATACTGTGTATTGTATACATATTATTATGTACTACTTGACAGGAAAATAATGATTGAAAAATACTTTGAGAATTTCTCGGGGGCCCAACCGCGGAGTGGGGAGTACAAACCCAGCAGATTTGTGTGTAATATAAACATTTACATGCTATATATATATATGATTACAAAGTTAAAAAAAACTTGGAACAATTGTCTGGCGTTGGGCAAAAATAAAAACTTTTATGGTTTTTGGCCTCCAAGTAAATAATTAAAAATATATATCCCGTCTGTGTGGGTATTGGTTATTTTTTAAATGAACGTTTTATAACGTTTGCAGACTAAGCTTTTTTTTCTTGAATCCGTCAACGCAATCAAGCCAATGCCATTTTTACTTAAATAACAAATAATAACATTGAACAAATTATTTAATATCGATTTGTAATTTAGTGCATGAAATAATTTATTACACCCTAGTTACACGATTGTCGATTTGTATACATTTTTTCGGTATGGTTTTCACTAAAACTGAAAAAAGCTAAAAAACAATGTAACATTTTTTTTTAATTGAAAACAATTTTTTAGTTTTATTTTATTATTTGAGTTTTGAAATTAACACTAGTAGTTTCATTGTTAACAATAAATAGTTACATTTTTGTGACATAAATTGTCACAATAACATAATGTTGTTATTCAAGTTTTAATCATTATCATTCATCAGTTATAATTATTTAGTTGAAATTTGAATGTTCATTGAAATACATTTATTTTACCTTATTCAAATTTATATCTCTTGCGTACAGTATAAGTTTTTTTTTTAAATCTGTACGCGGTTCCTAAAACCCCTGAACAAAAATTCCTATTTTATTAGAGGTTATAATATTGTGTAGTAGACAGAGTTTAATACCGGACAGTGCGTGCAAAACGGCTCCCGTTGTGTTTTAAACATTGTCTTGATATGATTTATTGAGATTTATGAGATCTGAAATCATGACGATATTCAATTCATTGTAGCTGGTAGCAAGAACACTCTTGAAGGTCGTACAAGTTATATTTTCTTATAGGATCTGTTGATGTTCGGATAAGACGATCCGGGCGAAATTCAATGTTGGCGTTTCATGTCGTCTTAAACATTTTTAAAGACCACACAATTGGCCATTATTACACGAGTATTGTCAAAAAATATTTAAATGGCTAAACGGGTTCGACTACAGACGGATATAGTGTGTTGACGTATTATTTTGATTAAATCTAAAACAAACAAAAAATAATAATAAAAAGAAAGTTTTTATATTTTGTTTCATGTAATAAATAAAATGTCACTCCGTTATTAATGTTTGTGCATAGTGTGCACAATCAATTCGCTATAGCACTTATTTATGGGCGCTTTTGTCGGCATAATGTCTACGGATGAAGAACGATTACCTATCTTTATATGATAAACTTGCATTGCTTCCTTCCTATAGGCGTTGTTGTCGTCCAAAGATAGGTCGGGTCGTGCCTGATGGTTTTGTTTATAATAATAACAATAATATCTCTATTAATATTCGGCGAAGCGTTTGGGTAAGTTTTGGAAACCTGTTAATTGTTACCTTTTATTTTAACCCGTTAAAAATCGATAAATACAATAATTATGCCGCCGATGGAATTAAAAAAGTGTATCGATTTTGGTTTTATCCCTCACAGGTAAATAAATGATTATTACTATTTTGGCCGCCCACACTGGCATAATAGTACTTAAATTATGCGCATATATTATTATAATCTAGTATTCATAAGACATACTTCGATGTGCCTTTGTGCGGTCGGGACGCAACGTTTCCTTTTGTCGGGTACCAACCATTGTTGGGAAATGGTTTTTTTAAATTTTTTTTACATATTTTCAAAAAGGATTATAATATTTTCGTAACCCGTAGCCCCGGTAGTCCATTCCCACCCACCACGGTTTGTGGTTCAACTAGCGCAAACAAATCACTTGTAATATATTTTATTTGCCCCACACCGATCAGACCACGGTCAAATAGGGTTTTGGAAATACGAATCGTACCATGCATAATGCACTAAAAGAACGGATTGGGTGCAGTCAGTAGAGTACACGATTAGAAATCTGGTCGGTTAATTTTTTTTTGAAAACGTCAGCCGGTTTTTGGCGGGACAAAAAACCAAAACGGCGATATTTTTTAATTTTATTAATATTATTTTATTCTCATTGGACCAAAGTGTTTTAATGGGTTTTTTAATTTTGTTATTTTTGTGTTCTTACAGGGCTCAACAAACGGACCATGTGCTCCTTGCGAGTGCTGTTGGCGGTGTTCGTCTTAGCCGTCGCCTTCGGAAACGCCGTGCAAACGCAGCCGGAACACCACGTAATTCCTTATGAAGGTAAAAAGAACTGTATAAATTAATATAAAACGCATAATATTGTAGAAGTTTGCATCCGAATAAACGATAGCGGTTAAGCTGGCATAGGCAGTTAGAACAGCAATACTAATAAAACTGGAGGAAAATAGTTGAGAAATACTATTAGTTTAGAAACGATCTGCCTTTTTTTTTCGTTAGCGGATCGACAGCAGAAAAATACAATTATTATTTCAAATTTTGGCGCTATAGTTATTATATAATCACTTTACCAAATTCTAGTAGCAATATCTCGTTATTTTTTCACCCAAGCTGCTCAGGATTGGCTGAATAAAATATTAATTAACTATAACGATAAACGGTATATTTTATGATTATACCAGTTAAAAATGTTGTACAGAAAATTTTGTCAGGTCTCATTTTTTTTTTTTTGTTAAACACAAAAAACTGAACAACGTTACACGATAAGACCTACATCATTCCTACATGTTTCATCTGTTCCGTGCTTTTACAGTATTTTGACATAGAACAAGTAGTTACTTCAATGAGTGAGAAAGGCCCTTTCGAATCTATGACTTGGGGAGACTATTCTTAACCCTCACAACACAACAAGACGCCTACTTTGAATCAAACCTTAATGATTTTTCGGGACATAAAATAAACTTGTACATTTTACTGGATTGTGCAATGCGGTCAATGACATAAGTTCACCGAGTTCTGACAGCGGTCTGGCTTAACTGGTCCGACAGATTTATTCGTGCTGCGTTCAAACTTCAGGTGAACAATTAACAGTCACGATATTATATGTAAGTTATGGTAAAACGGTTGAACCCACACCGTGTTCTATATGGCTACGTTAAACGCCGTCAATATAACTAAAAATAGGTCACAAATGGGGAAAAAAAAATCAAGTCGTGTCCAGGAGACGTTATAAGCGAGTCATGACGATTGAGGATCGTATATGAAACATTAAAAACGTATTTTGCCGTTTTATATCTTTTCTCGTGTCTTTGGAGAGTTGTAAAAATTATTTATGACTCGCGTCTCGTCAGGAATCGGATATCTAGTTGTGAAGAACAACTGTTTTTCTGCATTAAAAACGGTTTACATTATGGTTTACCGGCTTCAGAAATGACCCTGTTTTAATTTCCATATTTGTTTCTGTTGAATAAACCAAATAAATATTCAATGATAAATTACCGCAAGCGAATAACGTATCAAAAAACCAAACTTGTATAAACAACATTTAAATAATGGTAACATCAACATTTAGTTGATAAGCTCTAGAAAAGCTTAAAATATTTCGACTCGATCGAATTATACTGTTGTGGTCGAACAGCTTTCTTTTGGTGGTAAGTATCCACTCTATTTTTCCAACCGCCATATTCCTGTGCTATCCCTTTTATCGTCCTTTCCGTTCTGGCAATTAGTAAACGTGCCATTTACTTTGGGTTATTGTCGTTTTCGCGGTAATTCTTTCCTGTTTTTAACGGTCTGCTCGTGCATTAGCATGACCACACAACAGACTAACCCATAAACGGCGTTAGGTTAGTAGTGTTGTTATGCGGGAATACGTTTCCGAGGGTTGGGTCGTTTTGACTTTGGACAAAAAAAAAAAATACATACAAATACTGAAACTATTTTTGCAATAAAAATCCATTTAAAATGTTGCGGGATGGCCTGTTGCGGCCGGCAACAAAGGAACTTGTAAATGGAATAATAATAATCAAATTTTGGCTTAATTACTCGGCTCCAATGTAGGAAGTACACAATAGGTCCACTCAAGGGTCTGAGCGATTTTCGCCTGATCTCTTGTGGCGTGGACGAGGAGAGGGAAAAGGGGAAAAAGAGTTGGAGTTTTCTCGTTAATGAAGACGTGCTGCCCGTTTAGGCCGCAATACAAATCGTCTTCCGTTATTATCATTATCGTCATGATGATTATTACTATGTACATCCACCGACGTCCGAGGCAGAAAGAATGCCGTATTGTCCTTATACAGTGTGGTCTTGTGTGCGCCGGTTAGTATAATACAATATTATAGTAGTCGTCGGTCGGAAGTAGAACCAGCACACAAGTACTTCTTATACGTGCTTTGGCCCCCGGAGACTTCACGTTGGCACCGACCTAATTTGAACAAAAAAAATAATACATAAAATATTACAAAAAAAAAAAACACAAAACGTTAACTGTTAATCGGTAAAAGTCAAAACAATACTTGACGAGTTGCGTTATTCAACGAATATTGTTATCAATTATTTTATACTGTTGGCGAGCAAAACTACTTGCCCAATACACACAATATAAAATATGTATTATCTAACACGTGGCATGTGAAAAAAACATCAAAACGCGCAAAGGTGACTCGACGCGATTGCATTTCCCACGCGCCTAGTTAGTTTGTGTGTGTGTGTGTGTACCTACTCTCCATTTGTTACATTACAATAAACATAATTATACACAATCATTGTTCTTGGCCACCGCGTTACGGTCAAAGTGCAATACACAAAAATTTAAGGTCAACGCATTATAGCTTAGCACTTTTTATTTATCTGTATAAAATGCAAAAAAATCGTAGGCGAAACAAGTATCAGTCTCGTTTAAATCTGTCGATTACTTGTCCACAATTCAAATTTGAAAATTCAGACAATAAAATAATGTAAATGTATTTTGTTTGTAATGCAGTAATGAATACCTACTTGGGGATTATTTAGTGGTATTTTACGGTATACCTATATACCGCCGCGGTATGCTCGAAGAAAGTGTCGACGGATGATAATAATTTGTGTCGATGAGCAATTATTAAAATATGTACACGAAACACGTTTAGAAAACAAAAATTATGGAAAACGTTTGTTGTTATTAAACAGATAATTATGCGGGCGCGTTCACTCTTATGGCACATCATTTATTTGGAGAAAAACCTTATGCTTGTATAAAATGATGTTCGAAGATGGTCAGCCGGAGGGTAGGTATAGGTCCGGTCAATAAAGCTATTGTAGAGGTATATGATGTCGAATTGGAAGATTTGTAACGGCCGTGATTTTCTTTGTTGTCCATTACTTTCGCCATACTTAAGACCGTCTGTCTCGGCTTCTTAGCACTTGTCACGTGTGAACTTTCTCTTTCCGTTTTTGGCTGCACCACTTGTCATTTGTTCTGTTCCGGTGCAATCCGGCCGAATGGTTTTACATACTGTTTGAATATCGCTCAGGATTTATGTTTATATATATAATAGCATCCGGCCACCGTAAGAATGAATATAGTTCAAACAAAACCGTTTACGGCCAAGCAAGTCGTTGTTTTTATAACTGTATAGGTGAGGAACCACTGTGCTACATGTGTATACTGTTATATGGCGTTTAAGGAACCCTTGAGCGATTAGACCGGGGCAACTTGGGAATCGCCGGACCGGTTCATTGAACGGGTTAATCTTCTGGCCGAGTCACGTGGGGCTCGTCCGACATTGCCCTAAGCAACGAGTTAATTTCAAGGTAACGCGCCGGCTCGAAAAGCAATTAGTGTGAAAGAAAATTCAATAAAAATTATGTACCTATACGATCTGTTCTGCACAAGACAGACAACTGCGAGGAAGACGTACCGAGTCTTTGTGGTGGTCGCCGAGAGTAGGTTAATACTTTTTCCCATCTAAAGTTTATTGTATACGTTCATTTTGTTTTGCCGCAGAGAGAGTAAAAATGTGTTGCAAAACTCTGTAATAAAATTAATGATTAGGAAACGGCCGATGGACAATTTACAATAGCCCAATGGCGAACCCCCAGCATTGATGTGTTCATTTCCGTTTACCGCGTGCACCTGATAATATTCCTATTGGAGGTGGCACTTCGATATTATTAAACGGTATAGATAATATACTTTAGTACGAAAAAAATGTAATTAAAAATAACTATAAAAAAAATACATTTTTGAATTCGAAAAATTCCATGTTTTTTACTTCTATCGATATTTTTATTACTTTTCCATCAAATATTTTCAATTCAGATACAAGTCTACAAATCTTAAAGATAAGAATATTAATTACAATATTTTATTAGTTTCATTTATAGTAAATTTACATATATTAAATAACTATAAATATATTTATATAGCTGTCAGCTGTATTATCAGCTTTAGATATAGTTTTATAGTCTATATACGTTTGATTTTAAAAACAGTTGGTGTTTTCAGCTGAATATAATAAATATAATTATTAAATACATATTATTCAAATTTAAATCTAAGTTGCAAAAATAAAAATTTAAATGAAATCTATTAATTTAGAATTTTTAAAAAGCGCAACTTTTTTATAGTTTTGACTATACCAAGCTTAGCCAGCGGCGAAAACTTAAAAACAATAAAAAAATACATTAGATTTCTAACTAGGTAGCTTATGCACATTGCTTAGACTTTATGTTTTATGAAATATCAATAAATCAATTGTTTATATTTTGTATTATGAGGAGGGGAGAGGTATGGGGGCGAAGCCCTCCACCCACGTTTTTGTTAGGTTCTGAGAACTTTTGCAACCCCCAAAATTCAACCCAACTTATGCCACTACCTTCTAAATTTACACCTTCCAATTCATTAAAGTAATTTTTAGTCACTTTTTTCCGTTGCATCGATTGCTTTCAGCGGTGCTGTTGTTAAAATTAAAAAATAAATAATTATTGATATTTTATTAGCCATTAGTGTATTGGTTTGACGACGATAAACGATTTCAGATTTTTGGAGCATATTTTAGTCCACGTGCATCTGTTTAATCAATATCTAACTTGTCTTTTTGAGTACAAAACCGTGCAATTGGGACAGAAAACGGCGGGAAAGATTGAAATACGACCACCGAATAGCCGACGACGTTACAAACATGGCCACCAGATGTTTTTGGCGGTTATTTTTCAAAAATATTATTACTTAATATAAAATATAGGAAAAATGCTCGCGACAATCCCTTGGCGAACGTTAGTTTTCGGTCGTGCATCTCTTGTTTTGCTTTTCGGTTCAAACCGTTCGTCGACCCTTTTTTTGG